GGGCAAAAATCATCAAGGAAATTTAGTAAAACAAACCAGAAACATGTAAAAAGTATTGTATACTATATCAAGGGTATTTACCTCAGGAAAGCAAAATTTGGTTCAACATACAACTAGTGCTATGCACTGTATTCATATACTAAAGAACAAAACCACACAATCATCTCAGAAGATGCATAGGCAATTGAGAATTCTCCAACTCCTATGAGAAAAATATGCAGCAAATGAGGCAGTTAAGGGAACTGTCTCCCTTTTAAAGGGGATCCATGAAAAACTACTGTATCATCATAAGTTATCTGAAACGTTCACTAATTTCTCCAAGATTAGAAACAAGACACGGATTTCCACTCTTGACACTTGTTTTCAACATTGTACTAGAGGATACAGACATGCAGTTAGTCTAGAAAAATAAATATAGGCTTCAGGATGGAAGGAAGTATGATGTATCTTCTAGACAAAATAAATATGTTTAGAATTTAGAAATGAGTTCAACAAACTTGCAGTATACAAGGTGAAGATATAAAATCCTCTGAATTTCTATATGCTAGCAATTAATAATCCAAAAAAATCTCAGAATGTTCCATTTGAGATGACATCAAAATAAGTTTATCAAATTAAGTATAAGATATATACACAAAAACTATAGAAAACATTTTGAAAAAAATGGAAAAAATTTGACTATTCATTGCTTATAAATGTTAATGTTGTTAGGCTGGCAATATTCTCCAAATGGATCTATAGATTTAATGCAACCTCTATCAAAATCCCAGGTGACACTTCCTTCCTCTAAATTCACAAAGCTTATCGAAAGTTCATATATAATGCAATAGACCCAGAGTAGCCTAAATTATTTTGAGAAAGAAGAAAAAGGTTGGCGTGGGAGATACATACTTCCTGACTTCAAAACTCACTGCAAAGTAATAGTAATCAAGATTTATGGTGCTAGTATAAGAATATAGATGTTGATCAATGTAATAGAATATAATGCTCAAAAATGAATACATACATTTATAGTGAAATAATTTTATAATGTCACCAAATAAATTATATATGGATAAATATTTTTAATAAAATATTTCTAAGCAAGTGCATATTCCATGCAAGTCGAACTCCTGCCTCACACTGAAAATGTAAGTGACTCAAAAGGATCATATATCTATATATAATAGCTAAACAGGCCCAAATGTAGAAAATAACACAGGAATACATCTTCGTGGTCTTAGGTTAAACAATCTTTTCTAAGATATGATGCCGAAAGCAAAAGGGAAGAAGAAAAATCAGGCATATTAAACGTCATTAGAATGTGAAACTTTTGTGATTCACACTGCACCAACAAAAATAAAGACACCAAAGAATGGGAGCAAATATTTGCAAACAAAAGCAAACATTGGCAAATGAAACCTAATTAAACTTAAGGGCTCCTGCACAGCAAAAGAAAGCTATCTACAGAATGAACAGACAACCTACAGAATGGGAGAAAAGTTTTGCAACCTATGCATATGACCGCAGTCTAATATGCAGCATCTATAAGGAACTTAAACAAATGTTCAAGAAAAAAAAACCAACTCCATAAAAAAAGAGGGCAAAGGACATGAACAGACACTTTCAACAGAAGATATATATATATGTGGCTAACAATCGTATGAAGAAAAGCTCAACCTCACCGATCCTGAAAGAAATGCAATTAAAAATCACAATGTGATACCATCTAACACCAGTCAGAATGGCTATTATTAAATAGTCGAGAAATAGATACTGGCAGGGTTGTGGAACAAAGGAATTACTTACACACCATTGGTGGATGTCTAAATTAGTTCAACCATTGTGGAAGGCAGTGTGGAGACTACAAGAAGACCTAAAAACAGAAATATCATTTAACCCAGCAATCCCATTACTGAGCATATACCCAAAGAAATAAAAAGTGTCCTGTGAAGAAGACACACGCATGCATAGGTTCATTGCAGCACTATTCACAATAGCAAGAATGTGGAATCAACCTAAATGCCCATCAATGGTGGACTGCATAAAGAAAATGTGGAACATACACACCACGGAATACTATGCAGCCATAAAAAAGTATCATGTCTTTTACCACGAAAACGATGGAGCGGAGGCTACTATCCTTAGCAAACTAATGCAGGAACAGAAAACCAAATACCAAGTTTTTCCCTTATAAGTGGGAGGTAAATGACAAGAACATAAAAAACACAAGTGGGGAACAACACACACTGAGGTTTATCAGAGGGTGGGAGGCGACAGAGGATCAGAAAAAGATAACTAATGGGTTACTAGGCTTTAGTACATTGGTGATGAAATAATCTACAACAAACCACCATGACACAAGTTTACCTAAGTAAACAAATGTGCACATGTAACCCTGAAACTTAAGTTAAATAAAAAGGCAAGTATTTGCAAGTTTTATAGGTGATAATGGTCTATTGTTAATAATATACGGCAACTTCTTAAGAGCTCAAAAATAAAAAAGGCATATATCTCAATCAAAATGGAAATTATTCAAATACCCAATTCTCCATAAAAGCTACAGGCACATCCGAATCACACGAAGAGACACTCAATGCCTTCTGCCATTATGAGGCAGGAGACCGGCAAGTTGTTTCCTAGTCACAATCCTGCTGATCAAAATGAGATCTGGTCCAGACAGCATCTAGTGAAGAAACCGGCAAAAGAAGACAAAGGGATCCCTGGTTGTCCTCACTGCTCACCGGCATGAGACATTCCCTCCAGCGCATGACTGTTTACAAATTCCAGGCCAACAACCAGGAATTTACCACCTCTTTCCATGGCAACAACCCAGAAGTTACTGCTCCTGTCCTGGAAAGTTCTGAATCACCTGCCCATTAAGTTTCATTGGTCCACCCCTCAACTTCCATGTAATTGAAAGTAATTTTACCTTAGTGTAAGGATAGTTGATAAGAGCCCATAGGTTACCAACTGGTGCAACGCCTATGAGTTAGCCCTAGTGTTAAAGGAGCAGTACTGTTCAATAAAAGACTGCCATCTATCACCACTGGCTTGCCCGTAAATACTTTCCTGGGCAAAGCCAAGAACCCTGCCAGTTGAAGCCCCAAATTTGGGGCTCACCTGTCCTGCAACAATAGAGGATGCGAAGTCTAAAAAACATGATATATACTTCAAAAATCTAAAAGGTATATTGCTATGTGAAAAAATACAAGTTGGAAAAGGCAAAATACTGTGTAATTCTACCTATATGACTCTCTAGAAAAGGAAAAAAGTATAGTGATAGCAAAGAGTCTGGTGGTAACAGGGGGCTTGGGAGAGAGAAAGGTGGAATCAGTGAAATACAGGAGGTTTCTTTGGGGCAGTGAAATCACTCTCTCTGATACTGTATTGGTGGATACATAATAATGTTTTCTGAATCCTGAAGAACTTTATAACACAAAGAGTGTACTAAATTATGCAAATTTAAAAACCTTACTTAGTAGGTAAAGGGTTTCCAAGGAGGAATATCCCCAAAAGTAATATAATTATGTAATGAATTTATGGAATAACCTCACTAAAGAAAGTGGGGGAAAGCAATGGGTCTAAGTAACTTGGGTAATAAGTGGACATGCCGAGGCTAAAAGCCAAAGTATTTATACCTAAGTGCTGTACTTTACTTGGTAAAATTGTTTCCCATTGGGGTATAAGTTACCTGTTCTGAAACCACTGTGCATGTATGTTCAGGCAGTATGATTAACAGACCAGCATCAACTTCTTCACAGGGAGAGTAAGAGACTACACACATCATTCATGTGGTGCTGGATTAGATCATATGGTATTGGTAACATTAGCAGAAATTACAGAATTATACAGTTAGCCTGGAGTACAATTAAATACAGAGTTAGCCTGGAGCACCTAGTAGTGGTTAAAGAAAAGAAAATGCTGAACAACAACAAAACCAACCAACCATACAACACTGAACCTTAATTATGTGGGTATTTCAAAACTATACCACGGACAACTAAAAAACCTTCCAATACCCAACCATGCAACAATTTGAACAATCAAATAAATTAGCATCTGTAAAGTATAAAATATCCGTGTTTAGATGATTATATAATTTATGTATAAATGAATAAATATGTAATAGAATAGACACGTTTATGGTTGAGGGTTCAAATAAATTTGTATACATTCTGCCTATAAGAAGGTGGATCATGAATCCCCACTTTTTTTTTTTTGAGATGGAGTCTGGAGTCTCGCTCTGTTGCCCAGGCTGGAGTGCAGTGGCGTGATCTCAGCTCACCTCAACCTCTGCCTTCCAGGTTCAAGTGATTCTCCTGCCTCAACCTCCCAAGTAGCTGGCAGTACAGGCGCATGCACTGGGCCTAGCTAATTTTTGTATCTTTAGAGGTTTCGCCATGTTGGCCAGGCTGGTCTCGAACTCCTGACCTCAGTTGATCCACCTGCCTCAGCCTCTCACAATGCTGGGATTACAGGCGTGAACCATCTTGCTTGGCCCATGACTCCCCACTGCTCAAATGCGTGTTGTGTTAGTGACTTTGTTCTGAAACATCTATGGGGAAAAGGAAAAATAATAATAATTTCACAGTGTGTGATAATTTGATAAAAATGACTAGGTGATCAAATTAACATTAATAATGATAAAGCCTGTTGAGAGCCTGTGTCCTTGGTATGATGTGAGGAGAATGGCAGCTTTCCTCTGTCATCTTCCTCTCCTAAACCCACAAATCTAGTCTTATCATGGAAAAAACCTCAGAGAAATCCCACATTAGGAATGTCAATGTAATCAAAAACTAGGAAAATCTAAGAAACTGTGACTCTCAGAGAAGTCTAAGGAGACATGATAGCTAACTGTGCTGAGGTATCCTGGGTGAGATCCTGGAATAGAAATTAGACATTAAGTGAAACATAAGAAAATCTGAATAAAGTATGAAGAGTAGTTCATTCTACTGTTTAAAATTAGTTAAATGTGACAAATGTCCTACATTAAGAAGTTAATAAAAAGAGCAACTGTAGTGGGATATATGGAAAATCTATGTACTACATTTAAAACAATTCTGTAAACCCCAAACGATTCTTAAATGTATAAGGATTCTTTTTATTTAAAGTCACTGCTGACCTTATAAAATAGAACATGAGCAATGTGTTCATGGCCGTTAATGGAACTCCTTAGCTTAATCATCTTCCTTAATCACTGAAGGTCGCTATGACTGTGAAATTATTTGTTATCCTCTAATTTGTGTTTTGTTGTATTATCTCTGTTTATATTTCTAATATCCATAATGTTTAGTTCTTCTTGTCTTCAAACTTAGATGACAGGTGTTTAATGTATACATGTCCCTAGTTTAATCATGACAAATCATGAGACAAATCCATATTGTGGGACATCTTACAAATACAAAATATCTGACCTGTACATTTCAAAAGGGTCAAGGTCAAGAAAAATAAGTGGAGACTATGAAACTTGCAGACTGGAGAAGACCTAATGTGTCAGTTAGACCCTACAACGGTGCCCAGTGATCCTCACCTGCAAGAAATACCTTTCCTTTGTTAAGTTGCTTCCTCGTGACTCACGTGACCAGCACATGTGAACTCAACTTTTTTCCAACTCAGAGCTCTCCTAGACAGTGGCTACCTTGGTGGGAATGGAGTGGACACAGGTCCGACAAGTGCCACCAGAGTGTCTGACAGTGTAAACAAATTTCCTGTGAGAAAGATGCTGCGTCAAAGACTTATGCTTCAGGGTATCCAACAGGATAAATAAGTATCCCATTGAGAGGCACACTGTAAACATCCAGGACCCAGTTTCCTGGAGTCCTGTTGGGCAGGGTGATAACTTATAGTCACTGTCCCTAGAAAGACTTCAAGAGGTTATTAGACATAACAAAAACACATGATGTAGAGGTGATTTTATAAATCATGGCTCAAAGATCCCATGGAGAAAGAAGACAGAAATGGTAAAGTCTTACTTGAAAGTTTGCAGCAGAGTGCAGCTCTCTGAAGACAGAAAATTCTGTTATCTTGAGACTTTTTTCCTTAATCTTAGAAATATAAGCAGAGATTATTCTACGTTGCTTTCCAAATCTGATTCTTCATCCAGATCAACTACATATTTATCTCTTTTCCCTCCCTTTTTATCCTTCCCATCCCATGAATGAGGGTCTTGTGAATCTGACTGTAAGCAGGGAATGGAGATGCACGTGCATTCTGGTTTTCATGGAATGCTTTGCTCTGATCACTTGTTACTCGTCAGCTCCACTTGCTGATACTTAGAAAATGAAACAGGCTTTGGTGTTCCCCAAAGAGTGCACTGAATGAACAAGAAACTCACATAGTGTATAATTTAGAATGTTGAGCATATTGGCACTGAGAGTTTCAGCTTCTACTAGGGCTCAATTGAGTGAACAGGAAGCCCTTATCTCAACTAGAGGAGTCATACACCCTTTATTCAGACTAGAGGGCGGAGAGAGCGTTGGGTTCTTGCCTAAGGACATGGTCAGATGATGGGGTGTTTTCAGTGCCATCTTTCTGAGAATTCTGGTGGCCAATCCAGACTCAGTACAAATCATATTTTCCAGGCTACCATAGTAATGTTTGCAAGCTTAGTGCTCAGCACTGTGTCCTCTGTGCCTGGGACATCATGGTAGCAGAGTTTCATGTCTATCACTTTTCCAGTCTTAACCCTGAGCACTCAGAGCTCATCGACCCTCTTGCCACCTAGAGATGAGTCTGCCCTTCTACAATCTACTTCTCTCTCCTTCCTGGCCTGCCACTTGGTGATTTTTTTTTTCCTCAAAAATTTAGTCATGGATGATCTTCACAGTACACATCATAATAGACCAGATGTGTGCATTGAAATGCAGAAGAAAATGGGATTGTACAAGTTACTTACTTTATAGAAACTCCTGTTATAATGAAATAAAAAGAGCAAACCTCCATGACTTAAGATCGCCAATTTAAATGAAACTGTCCTTTCCTATGAGGTAAATTGTAAGATTAGAGGCGTAAGAAGGTTTACTGAATTATAAATGCCCCAAATAATAGCACCTGAATTACTGCTACAAACTTCTCAGAACTGAGAAATATGGTCAAGGTCAGCTGTGTCTCTCACTCTAGGTCTCCAGGACCCAGGAGTTTGTTTTCTCACTGAAGCTATGAATATGGTATGGAGAATGTAGCCCATGATCACGGTCTGAAAACGCAAGAGTCTTGACTTTGCAGATGTCCTTGGGAGCGTAGTATGCAGTCCCATGGCTTAGTATGCTTTGTGGGCATGGCTTCCGGAACATCCCTGGTGCTCCTCTATAAAGTGGTGTGGCCTGTGAACAGGGAGTTGTGTTGAGGAAGAGGGGATAGTCCCCCTGCTGTGGTGATCTTTGTTTAGCCAGCACATTTGCAGTCAGCACTCAGCTTGTGTCCATCTCTTAGATCACAGGAAGGTGGGCTGGGGTATGTTCTACTTGCTATTCATTCCTTTTTTCTATTAGGCTATTTCCACCTCTGCAAGACACACTCTGTATCACTAACATGCCTCACCTTCATACATCTGATGTCTAAAGGTTCATTTCCACATCTTTTTGAGCAGGAATTAACCTACAGCTCCATGATTATAAACTTTTTCATATCTAGTTAACTTTCTTCCATGATAATGTCTACTCTGTGGCTTTTGGCCTTGTCACTTGAAATGGTTTCATTGTGTCCCCACCCAAATCTCACCTGAAATTGTAATAATCCCCATGTGTCAAGGGCAGGGCCAGGTAAAGAAAATGGAATCATGGGAACAGTTTTCCCCATACTCTTCTCATGGTAGTAAATAAGTCTCACAGGATTTGATGGTTTTATAAATGGGAGTTCCCCTGCACAAGTTCTCCTGTCTGCCACTTGTAGGATGTGACTTTGCTCCTCATTCGCCTTCTGCCATGATGGTGAGGCCTCCCTGACCATGTGAAACTGTGAGTCAATTAAACCTCTTTCCTTTATAAATTACCCAGTCTTAGGTATGTCTTTATTAGCATCGTGAGAACAGATTAATGTATCAAAGGACAATATAGATCCATGACGTGTCAAGAGAATGTGTGGTCGCATAAATTCGTGATGGAGTCTGCATGATGAAGAAAACTGAATTATCACAGTGTTTTCTCAAAGGCTTAAGGCATCGTATTCTTGCAAAACTTGGGAAAAAAAGGAATCTGTACTAAGAAAACACGCTTAATGCAGAAATATATATGTTCCCCATCACTGGTGCTTCTCAATCTTCTCTTCTAATGTCTGGAAGTCATGTCTTCTAAAATGTCTTTATACTGAGATCCTACAAAGACACTGCCAGAAAGTGCCTGCGAACAGGGCCTTCTAACATATGTGAGAAAGGTATCTTTCCTTGGAAAAGTGGTTACGAACACAGGAACTGATAACTGGATAATGGTGTGATTGGAAGAAGAAAATGGATGAGTGTCCCTGGAGCGTGACGGTGTCCTTCTGAAGCAGGTGCCCTGTGTAGGAATGGGGTATAATAAGGCAAGCTATTTTGCCATAGTATCCCCACATCTCCATTCATCCTCTGATCTGTGGCTTTATAGTGGTTTAAATCTGTCTCTCTTATTGTTGTTTTATTTTTTGGTACCTGAATATTACATTTTAAGAAATGTTTTTATCATAGTTTTAGGTTTACAGAAAGTAGTAAAGATAATAGAGTTTCATATATCCTACAGCTTCCTGAAATGTGAACACCTTATATCACCATAGCATATTTATGAAAACTCAGAAATTGACGGTGGTACAAAACTATTAACTGAAATAGATTTTCTTCATATTTTACCAGGTTTTCCACTAATGTCATTTTTCTGTTCAAGGATCTAATCGAAGATACCACATTACATTTACTGTCAGGCATATTACCGATTGGTTGTTGTATAACATATGACTACAGAGTTTAGACTTTAAAACACAGCCCTACATAGTACTTACAGTTTCTCTGGGTCGGATACCTGGCAGAGAGTTCAAGGGAAGGCTCACCTGGGGAAGGATCCCCTTCCAAGCTCCTAGAATTCTTGTAAGGATTCAATTTCTGTCCAAGTCAAGATGACTTCACTGCTGTGTTATTCAAAGCCTTTCAGCATTAATAACAATCAATAAAATCAGACGAGTAGAGAACCTTTCCCAATGCACTGTATGAAGCCAGTGTTCCCTGACCCCACAGCTAGACAAAGACATTTCCAGAAAGGAAAATTACAGACCAATATGAAATAGGTAAAAAGTATCAAGGAAGTACTATCAAAATTAACTAGTAACATATAAAAAGGATTATACACTAAACACAAAACGATTTATCCTTGCAATGTAAGTTTGGTTAAACCTACAAAAAGAACTGGTGTTATAAACTATAGTAATAGAATTTTGTTAAAAACACTCATGGTCACCTCTAAAGACGCAGAATAGGTATTTGACAAATTCCAAACCCATTCATGATAAAAGCTCTGGGAAAGTTAGGCATAGAAGAAAACTTGCTAAACCTACAAACAGCATCCACGGAAAACTCACATAACGTAAGGAAAGACATACAAGCCAACAGAATGGAGTTGAGCACGCCAAAATCCATCTTTATATATAGGGCAAACTTATTTTCAAGGTTGAAAATTTGATTAGAGAGGAAAAAATAGTTTTTCAACAAATGTTCCTGGGAGAAAGGGATATCCACATGGAAGTTTAACTCTTTCCTTTACCATATATGTATTTGACTCAAAATAGAATACGTGGGTAGCTGTAAGAGCTAAAACTAAAAATCCCACAGAAGAGAACACGGGAATAGGTTTTCATGGCCTTATGTGAAACAATGGATTCTAACATGTGACACAAAAGTGCAAGTGACAGAAAAAAAATAGATGCCCTGAACTTCACATGGATCAATACCTTTTAAGATGCAAAGTGCACCATCAAGACAACTGAAATAATGGAAGAAGATATTCCCAAGTCATATAACTGTTAGGAGACTATTACACAGAATATAAGAAACGTTCAGGTGTGTTCCAGCACACCCAGCTAATTTTTGTATTTTTAGTAGAGATAGGGTTTCATCATGTTAGTTAGGCTGGGCTCAAACTCCTGGCCTCAAGTGATCCACCCACCTCAGCTTCCCAAATTGCTGGGATTATAGGCATGAGCCACCGTGCTCAGCCTCATTCTTCTTTATTATTTTCTAAATTTGTATTTCTAAATAATATGTTGTTCACGATTTTTGTCTTCAATATTAGATAAATATGTGAATAAATTAATGTTTAATCTTAGTCAAATGATGAAAAAATATAACGAATCCATATTGTGATACATCCTATGGAACACCTGACAAGTTCTTTTCACTAGGATCAAGGTCAAAAAAATAAGTGAAGACCCACAAACTGATACAGGTTAGACAGGACCTGATATGGCAGGTAGATTCTAAGATGCTTCCCAATGATCCACACCTCTAGATATGCAAAACTCTATGCTTATACCCTCACTGTGAGGTTAAGACATGCCATACCACATGTATACACAACCACAAAAGGGGCAAAGTGTATGGAACAATGGTTTGTAAGAGAGACTATATCAAACAAGGAAGGACAGTGATACCTGAGACATACCATGCTGTGACATGAGCTCTACCATTGCCTCAAGACACTGCTTTGGGAGATTTTCCAGGCTGTGGTGTGGCATGGACTTTGGAAGACACTGTGAGTTGAGAAGATGGAACTGAGAGTCGAGTACAGATTGGCTGGATCGCATCTAGAATTTCTTCACATCCGGTGGTAAGAATGGGAGACAGCATGGCTGCCATTGTCATCATTACTCACTGAAATACGGTTCGCAGAAGTACAGAAGCAATGCAGAAACAAAGCAGAGACACAAAGAAAAGTTACTTGAATGAAGACTTAATATTGCACAAAGACTGATGCCTTTACATGTTGTACAAAACCAAGGCTTAAAAAATAACCATTTGAGATAAAGTAAATGATGTGTCTAAGTCGAATGAACCAACCAAGTGGACACAAACCTTCCTTTACTATACAATTTTCATACATGTGCCTGATGAACTCACTATATTATAAAATAATGAAAGCAGAGCATTCTATTTATAAGAGCAGAACACAATTGTCAGAAAAAGAAGGATTAAAAATATTTTTACCTCTATTTGTTTCCCTATAAAACCTTAAATTTCCTTTAAATTTGGAAAATAATTTGTCAGTTTCTTCACTACATAAATTCCACTGCCATTCTAGTTTGCATGGAGTATAGGGTTGCTATTTTTATGCAGTGAAGTTCATTTAAATTAAGTTATTGATATGCAGTGAAATTAATTTAAATTAAGTTCCCATTTATATGCAGTGAAATTAAGTTAAGTTAAATTGCCAGGCTGCAATATAATAGATGAGGGGTTGTTAATTCTTGTTGTTATTTTAACCAAGATCTGTCACTGAACTTCTGTGTGTACAGTATTGAAGCCACGAGACCCTGAAAGCCACCCTCACTGGAAAATCAAATGCCCATCTACTGATCTGGAGTACTTGTAAAACACCAGTGTTCACGCTCTCTTGGTTGCTCACATCTCATAAATCTTAGACGAATGTCCCCTATGTCCCCAGAATAATTTTAGAGCACTATATTATTGCCTTACTTGTACAGTAAACATATGTTATTGAGTTTCAGCAACTCATTCTGTGTGAATGCTTCACTCACAAGAGGATGTGTTGTCAACATAGTCATGTTGGCATTAAGGCACTCCTCACTGCAAGCTCTGCATAAATTCTGGTCTGTTTGTGGAGTCCTGTTAAATAATATCTGAAAATGGGGCTTTTTGACACACGTGAGTCACAGGCATCTGTCTTTGTAAAAGTGGTTACTGATGCTAAAACTGGTGACTGAAAAATGCAGAATATGATGAAGAAGATGAAAGAGGACGAGTCTCTGGAACTTGGGGAGAATCTTCCTGAAGCAGGTGTACCTGTGTTCGAGTTGGTAAATCGATATGGAAAAGTGCTTTGCTATTCTCTCTTTACATGTCCTTTCATCTCCTGAGCTGAAGGTATTCTGTTTGTGCTTTGGAATTCTTTTAATATCACATTTAATATTTTTTTTCAAAAATACTTTTCTATGAAATAATTTAAATACACAGAAATATGCACAGAAAGCTTTATATATCCTTGAGTTACATGCAATGATAAGCCCTAAAAAATAGTTGGCACAAAACCGTTTATTGAAATATAGGCTTTTTCCATATTTTACTGGGTTTTTAAGTAATGTCATTTTTTCTGCCCAGGATACCACATTGCATTTACTGTCAGGCGTATTATTTATTGCTGCGAAATAAATTCTCACATACTAAGTGGCTCTCACTCACAGTTTCTCTGTATCATGAATCCAGATGCAGATGATGGCCAAGGATCAGGTCTCAAGCGAAGAAGGTTCAGCTGGGGAAGGATCCCCTTCCAAATTCATGTGATTGTTGTTAGGAGTGAAGGCCCTGTGCTTGTTGAGATGACTTCACTGGTGAACTATTCCAAACCTGAAAATAATTAATAACAATCTATCACAAAATCTTCATAAAAACGTAAACAACAGTACAAGCAGAGATCACTTCCTGATGTATACTCTTAGTTACTTTATACTGATATTACAACAAAAGCAAGACATTTTAAGGAAGAAAAATTAAGATCAATATATTTTATAAATAAAGTACAAAGGTCTTCAACAAGATGCTAGCAATACAAATCAGCAAATGGAAAAAGAATTACACACCATCACCAAGAGTATTTGTCTCAGGAATGCAAATTTGGTTCAACTTACAAAATAATTAGTGTCATGCCCTATAAGAATAAAATAAAAAACAAAAGCCATATGATCATCTCAAAGGATGCAGCAAAGGCACCGGATAAATCCAAAATCCATTTTTGATAACAATATACAACAAATTAAGCCTATGAGGAAAGTTTCTTTATCTTAAAGGGCATCCATGAAAAACTCAGTATCATCATAATTTAATTTAAAGGCTCAAAAATAGTATAAACATGGACATACAGATCAAAGAAATATAGTAGAATTGAACATCCATAAATTAATCTTTACCTTTAGAGTCAAATGATTTTGTAAGGTTGCCAAGCCAATTCAATACGGAAAAATACATTTGTAACAAATGCTGCTAAGACAATTGAATATCCACAAGCAAGTTGAAATTCTCACTCACACCATATACATAATTAGCTCAAAATAATCATATATCCAAATGTAAGCTCTAAATAGACCAAACCCATAGTAGATAATATATAAAAACGTAATTTGGGTCTAAAGTTAAACAATAACTCCTATAATTTCTAAGATATGATACTTAAAGCCCAACAAAAATAAATAAACATGAATATATTAACTTTATAAGAATTAAAATCTTCTGGGATTCAAAGTACATCATTAAAAGTAAAAAGATAATGCAAAGAATAGAAATATTCACAATCACATAGAAGGAGCTATTATCCATAACATACAAAATATTTTACAACTCAAAATAAAAAGGCAAGTATCACAATCAAATTGGTAAACTATCTGAATAGACATGTATCCAGAGATACTATATTCATGTCTCGTAAGCACATGATATGGGGCCTAAGTCTTTTGTCATTAAGAAAATGCAACTCTAAGCAACCATGAGATACACTTCACAAATCTAACGGGTATATTGTGAAAAAAAGGTAAATTTAAAAAGGCAAAATACTTTGTGAGATTTTGGTGATGTGACACTCTGGAATGTGAAAAAGCAGAGAGATAATAAAATGGTATTTACTAGGAGCTTGGAAGAGAGGCAGGTCAAACTGGTGAGGTACAGCAGATTCGCTCTGGGCAGTGAAATTACTCTGGTATCATACAGTAACGATAAATACATTATTGTATTTTACAAATCCTAAATAACTTTATAATACAAAAAGTGAACTTACAATATACAAATTAAACACCTTATACAGCAGGTAGCAGATAGCACGGGGCTATACACATAAAAGAATTAAATAACACATCAGTGAAATCACCTCACTGAATGGAGGGGGGAAAAGCAGCTGACCCAAGTAACGTAGCAAGTCAGTGGATATTCTGAGTCTAAAGGGTAAAGATTTATCCATAAAATCTTCAGTTGGTAAAGTTCTTTCTCACGGCCATGTACATTTCTAATTCTGAATATGCTTATACAAGTCTTTGGATTATGTGATTAAATAACAGAACCATCTTTATCATTGTTAGCGTGGTAGGCTACACACAAGTAAGCAGGAATAGGGGTGCTGATTCATGTGGTACTGGATTAGATCATGGGGTGCTGGAGCGTTATGAGGAAGGAATTCATGTTTAACTTAAAGATACAGATACATGATAAAACATTTGTGTGCGCGCGCGCGTGTGTGTGTGTGTGTGTGTGAATCAGTATACATAGATGTATCTGCTCTGCACACAAGGTCATGAATCAACAGATGCCCCAGGAGCAATGAATATGCCAAGGGCCCGATCTCCATTTCTAATTCAATTTTCCAATAAAATAACTAGGGCTCTGTAAAAAAAAAAATGGTTAATACCAGGCTTGTGAGGAAATCCACACAATTAGCATAAGCACCTAGTAGTGCCAGAAAAAGTAAAATGCCAAACAGTGCAAGCAACTAACCAACCACATAACAACAGCAAAGCTCAGTTATGGTGGTGTTTCAAAACGACAGATGATCCAACTGAAAGAACTTCCAATAGTCAACATTGCAACAATTTAAACAAATAAATGAAGTAGTAGAAGTAAAGAGTAAAATAAATATCCATGTTTGCATACTGACATAAAAATGATTGCATAAATATAACGATTATTGGAGAAGAATAGATATGTCCAGGATGAATGTTCCAGATAACTTTTGGTAGACCTCTGCTCATAAAGTAGAGCATTTCTTTTGTTTTGTTTTTTGTTTTTCAAGATGGCAGATTGGAGGCTTTGTTAGTGTGCCTCACCTGCTTAGAAAGAGCAAAATAGTGTCTAGAGATTCACACTGTGAATTTGTATCCAACAAACACAGGAACTCAACAAAAAGAGTGAAAGAACCTCTGGATACTTTGAAAGAAGCAGCAGGCAGCAACTTGCACTATGTGTCAGATGGGCAACTGAGCCTTGAGAGTGCAAAAGGGGGAGACTCTCTCCTTGATACATTCCCACTAGGGAACCAGGCAATCCAGGTCACAGGGAAGCGCCTGAACCCTGCCCAGCGATGGAGCTGACTTAACAGAGGTGGGGAGCATGAAAGTAAGAGTGGCACCTGGATGTGCTGCGTGTGCACTCCCAGACCCCAGCAGCAACAGAAGGAAGATATTCTTGACCCTAATTCATAGAATATCTTGAAGAAATCAGCGAAGTAACCCAGGCAGTAGGCATGCACTGGAAGAAGCCCCCAACTGAGGAAGAAGCTGACCAACTAAGATTTGTATTTGATCTAGTATTGAGCAGAGGATGAACCCCCGAAGGCCCGAACCAAGGGGCATCAAGGAAGCATTCTTGTGCCAGGGTCATGGGACCTGGGTACTGCTGTTTCACATGTCAAATCAAGGGGTGTGGCCTCAGAGCTACTGTTCCAGTTTCAGTCTCCAGTGGGAAGTCTTGTGGCCTGGGGCAGGTTTGTGTTCTGAGCCTAGACTGCCTGGGACTTAGCTGGCTGCTGTGGGTTTTTGCCAGCAGAAGTCTGCATGTGTAAGACCTTCTGTGTCAAGGACATGGGAACTGACCTGCCACTTTCTACCCCTCTCTCCATGTACAGACTGTCATGGAGCAGAGGGCGTTCTCCTCCCTGGAACATTATCCCAGCGGTCAGGGAACTGTCCACTGACCACCATTGCAGCTTCTGCTTACACCCACACTTGGAGAGGCAGAGTATGGACTTTCCTGACCCAGCCCACACCTGGCTTTGCCCCTCTACCTGTCCTAGTAGCAGAACTGGAACAGGGACTTTTTAGACTTCCATGTCACTTCCCATCAGCTGAATACTTCCCCTGGGTAACAAAGGCTAAGCATAAATCCCAGCACCATGACAGCTGGCTCTCTCCTGCAAGTGCCACCTTCCGGCCCAAGGTCAACCAACACAGTCCGTTATAACATCTGCTGGCACACTAACATGGTACTGGAATAAATGTAGACATACAGACCAGAGGAACAGAATAGAGACCCCAGAAATGAAGGCAAATACTTACGATTAACTGATTTTCAACAAAGCAGACAAAAACATATACTGAGGAATGAACATCCTATTCAATAAAAGGTGCTAGGAAAATAAGACGGCCACATGCCAAAGAATAAAATTGGATCCTTATCTGTCACCATATATAAAAATTAACTCAAGATGCATTAAAGACTTAAATGTGAGACATGAAACCATAAAGATTCTAGAAGTAAAACCAGGAAAAAATCTTCTGGACATTGGCCTAGGCAAAGAATATTTGACTAAGACCCCGAAAGCAACTGTAACATAAACAAAAATAAATAAATGGGACTTAACTAAACTGAAAAGCAGAGCAAAAGAAATAATTGACAGAGTAAAGAAACAACCTACAGAATGGGAGAATATATTTGGAAACTGTCCATCCAACAAAGGACTAACCCAGAATCTACAAGAAACACAAATCAGCAAGAAAAAATAAATAATCCTATTAAAAAGTGGGGGGATGACATGAACAGGCAAAAGATATACAAACGGCCAGCAAACATATGAAAAAAAAAAGCTCAACATCACTAGTCATTACGGAACGCAAATTAAAACCATAATGCGATACCAACCTTAGCCTAGTCAGAAGGACCATTATGAAAAATCAATAAATGATTGATATTGGTGTGGATGAGGAGAAAAGGGAATGCTTATACACCCTTGGCAGGAATGTAAATTCGTACGACCTGTATGGTAAACAGCATGCAGATTTCTCAATGAGCTTTTAAAAGCAGAGCTACCATTCAATCTAGCCATCCCACCACTGGTTACGGGCCCAAATGAAAAGAAGTCATTCTATCAGGCGCCACCTCCAGTCTTCCTCGACCCAGCAATGCAGGGGTTTCAGGTTTGGGACAAGTGCAGGGTTCTCCATAAAGGCAGCGTTGGTGGTGGACCCGACCCCTTGCAGCCCCACACGGAGGGAGTGGAGGGGCGCGTTCTGCAGCCTGCTGCACAGGATAAAAGGTAGATTCCACCTGGTGAGTGGAAGGTGCATGTGGCAGCTCTGCTGGGGCTGCGGGAGTACAGGAGAGAGTGGCTGGCTGCCTGGTGCACAAGTGTCTGCGGAGCACATGCTCAGAAGGCCGGGGCAGAGAGGCAAAGGTGCTGGTCGCAGAACCTTTGGTTCAGGGGCTCATCACGCCCACCAGGGATGTGGCCCATCATCTGACCTTTGGAAGCAACTTTGTGCTCCTCACTCGGCTTCCTGTTACAAATCGTGGCAACATATTTCAGAGGACTTGGGGGAAAATCGCCCTCTTGGCACCATCAGGTCCATTCTCAGTGGCGTTCTGCTGGGGATGGGAGGAAGTCCCCAAGGATGGTGTAAAGGAGGGGTGCCTGACCTTGGGCTTGGCAGATGGGTGAGCTCCACTTCCCAGTGCCAAAGCCCTTATTGCATCTGCTGCAGACTCCGTGAGACTGGGCACGGTGATCCAAGAGTTCACCCACGTCAGAAATCCTTTCGGTGTTGCTCCCCAGTGGAAGACCACAGCCTGCCTTCTTCCTGGGCCTGAGTGAAGTGACACGGCCACTGCCAGGGCGGGGGTCCAGGGAAGCCTGTCTCTGGTGTCACTGTGCTCTGTGCCAAGTACGGAGAAATGTTTGTAAGGAGTTGACAACTCCCGAGAAAGCATTTCAGTGGTTACTGGAGGACCTGCACTCTGGAAATGCAGAGAACCCAGGACTGTTAGCAGGATTAACTGGGTGACTAACAAGAGAGGGCAGACAGAGCCTGGCTCATTTCGGTACTCTGCATGGGTTAGTTGCCACCATCAGCTGTGATGGGCACATGTGGTGACTGCTTTGTGGCACTCCTGGGTATCGCTCCACTTGGTTTCAGATACCTGTGGAGCTGTTTTGAACAGAGGAAAGAAATTCAGGATTCTACCCAGCCCTTAACTGGGGTTTGTTTGGAAGCTCACCATTTGTTTGTAAGTGTGAGTATATGACCTTTGAGTGTGGGCCCTGATCTCTTCCTATCCTTTTCACTTTCAACTTCATCTTCCTGATTATCTTGAAAGCCACCTACAGCCTTACTCATCTCAGTCAAAGGTACCCCTAGCTCTCTCCAGCTGTCAACAGTTTCCTTTGCCCATGACTTGCAGAGGTGGGAGGGATTCGTCTCACACTGTGCATGTCCAGGGTACTGGGGCTCTCCCTGATGGGATGTCAGCAAGAGTGGTGGGGGTGCCAACCCTATACCATGCAGCAGCTAGAAGGTTCACAAACCTCCTTTTCTATCTTTTTCTCTTTCCCTCCTTTTAAAGGAGCCTGGTAGGAACTTCATATTCTCATTATCTTCGGGATTTCAGCTGGTTACTTATTAAGACCTACTTTTGTGAACATTTAAACAGAGAGGCAAACTATAGCAAGAAAACTTGAGCGCTCAAATGGTTAACTGCAGCTATTAAGTGAGGCAGAGTCATCAAAACCTCTCTTTCTTCCTCTGTTTTGTTTTCTGCCTGCTTCAGATTGGCTGTTACTAAGCTGTTGGTGCTGTGATAAGACTCATTATTTACCGACTAACTAGAAAGTAAACACAGGAAACTGGTTTAAAGCTGAAGGGAAAAAAAAAGGTAAAAGGTGCTTTTTTAAAAACAAAACTGCCATAAAGATAGCTTTACCCAAAGTTTGGTTCACAGCTTTCACAGATTATATATTGGAGAAAACACAATTTAGCCATGGAAACAGGTTCCAGTTTTGTCAGACGGTAACATGTATCCAGCTATTTTTTTATAAAATACTGAGTGTGTACTGTTACTTTACGGTTAGAATCCCAAGGTAAAAGCTATGAGACCTTTGCTTGTGTGTGTATACCCTGTTTAGACATGTTTGTGTGTATGTACATATGTAGATATGTTTGAGTGTATGCACATACGTAGATATGTTTGCATGTATGTACACATGTAGATGTGTGTATGTACATATGTAGACATGTTTGTGTGTATGTACATATGTAGACATGTTTGTGTATGTACATATGTAGACATGTTTGTGCGTATGTACATATGTAGACGTGTTTGTGTGTATGTACATATGTAGACATGTTTGTGTGTTATGTCTAGCCTGCTACCAAATTGACTTACAAATAAATAAGCGCTCATAAATTAATTTGGGAAGCTTTTCAAGTTCACATAAACTTAGTAAACCTTGACAAATAAAACTGGTTTTAAGATTATTGGTGACATAATATTAGAAATATCTTCAAAATGATCAGCATATATATTTTTTTAATTTATTATTATTATACTTTAAGTTGTAGGGTACATGTGCATAACGTGCAGGTTTGTTACATATGTATACTTATGCCATGTTGGTGGGCTGCACCCATCAACTCGTCATTTACATCAGGTATAACTCCCAATGCAATCCCTCCCCCCTCCCCCCTCCCCATGATAGGCCCCGGTGTGTGATGTTCCCCTTCCTGAGTCCGAGTGATCTCATTGTTCAGTTCCCACCTATGAGTGAGAACATGCGGTGTTTGGTTTTCTGTTCTTGGGATAGTTTGCTAAGAATGATGGTTTCCAGCTGCATCCATGTCCCTACAAAGGACACAAACTCATCCTTTTTGATGGCTGCATAGTATTCCATGGTGTATATGTGCCACATTTTCTTAATCCAATCTGTCACTGATGGACATTTGGGTTGATTCCAAGTCTTTTTTATTGTGAATAGTGCTGCAATAAACATACGTGTGCATGTGTCATTATAGCAGCATAATTTATAATCCTTTGGGTATATACCCAGTAATGGGATGGCTGGGTCATATGGTACATCTAGTTCTAGATCCTTGAGGAATCGCCATACTGTTTTCCATAATGGTTGAACTAGTTTACAATCCCACCAACAGTGTAAAAGTGTTCAAGAACCACATGATTATCTCAATAGATGCAGAAAAGGCTTTTGACAAAATTCAACAGCCCTTCATGCTAAAAACGCTCAATAAATTCGGTATTGATGGAACGTACCTCAAAATAATAAGAGCTATTTATGACAAACCCACAGCCAATATCATACCGAATGGGCAAAAACTGGAAAAATTCCCTTTGAAAACTGGCACAAGACAGGGATGCCCTCTCTCACCACTCCTATTCAACATAGTGTTGGAAGTTCTGGCCTGGGCAATCAGGCAAGAGAAAGAAATCAAGGGTATTCAGTTAGGAAAAGAAGAAGGCAAATTGTCCCTCTTTGCAGATGACATGATTGTATAGTTAGAAAACCCCATTGTCTCAGCCCAAAATCTCCTTAAGCTGATAAGCAACTTCAGCAAAGTCTCAGGATACAAAATTAATGTGCAAAAATCACAAGCATTCTTATACACCAGTAACAGACAAACAGAGAGCCAAATCAGGAATGAACTTCCATTCACAATTGCTTCAAAGAGAATAAAATACCTAGGAATCCAACTTACAAGGGATGTAAAGGACCTCTTCAAGGAGAACTACAAACCACTGCTCAGTGAAATAAAAGAGGACACAAACAAATGGAAGAACATACCATGCTCATGGATAGGAAGAATCAATATCGTGAAAATGGCCATACTGCCCAAGGTAATTTATAGATTCAATGCCATCCCCATCAAACTACCGATGAGTTTCTTCACAGAATTGGAAAAAACTGCTTTAAAGTTCATATGGAACCAAAAAAGAGCCCGCATCTCCAAGACAATCCTAAGTCAAAAGAACAAAGCTGGAGGCATCACGCTACCTGACTTCAAACTATACTACAAGGCTACAGTAACCAAAACAGCATGGTACTGGTACCAAAACAGAGATATAGACCAATGGAACAGAACAGAGTCCTCAGAAATAATACCACACATCTACAGCCATCTGATCTTTGACAAACCTGAGAGAAACAAGAAATGGGGAAAGGATTCCCTATTTAATAAATGGTGCTGGGAAAATTGGCTAGCCATAAGTAGAAAGCTGAAACTGGATCCTTTCCTTACTCCTTATACGAAAATTAATTCAAGATGAATTAGAGTCTCTAAATGTCAGACCTAATACCATAAAAATCCTAGAGGAAAACCTAGGTAGTACCATTCAGGACATAGGCATGGGCAAAGACTTCACGTCTAAAACACCAAAAGCAACGGCAACAAAAGCCAAAATTGACAAATGGGATCTCATTAAACTAAAGAGCTTCTGCACAGCAAAAGAAACTACCATCAGAGTGAACAGGCAACCTACAGAATGGGGGAAAATTTTTGCAATCTATTCATCTGACAAAGGGCTAATATCCAGAACCTACAAAGAACTCAAACAAATTTACAAGAAAAAAAAAAACAAACAAACAAACAACCCCATCAAAAAGTGGGCAAAGGATATGAACAGACATTTCTCAAAAGAAGACATTCATACAGCCAACAGACACATGAAAAAATGCTCATCATCACTGGCCATCAGAGAAATGCAAATCAAAACCACAATGAGATACCATCTCACACCAGTTAGAATGGCGATCATTAAAAAGTCAGGAAACAACAGATCAGCATATTTTTATCTGAGTTTACTGAACAAAGGGTTTTGTATTTATCTCTGTCTACACATTAAGGTGTCAGGATATGACATAAAGGCTATAAGACCATAAACCCAGCCAAAAACAGAATAATTTTTGTTTGTGTGATTTTATAGATCAGTTAGACTAATTTAATATTACTAGTTCAATGAAAACAGTTAAATCTTCTGTGCTATTAACAAAATGCACATATATTGAACTTTAAGGTTCCTACTTAGGTAAAACACCTTATGTCCACAGACTTTAAAAATGGGTAATAGGGACATAACTAAATAATTACTACTTTTGGGTAATATCCCAGTTTTCAAAAGTACTCTAGGTAAACTGTTAAAATGGAAAAACTGAGTACACGTCAATGAGATCAATGCTTCTATGTGAAATTTTTGTATAATTTAAAATCTTAAAATCATTTTGGATGCTTACTGGATGTCTTGGTCAATTCCAATTAAGAAAGGGTTATTATATAGAGAAAACTGTTCTAAAAATTGTGAAATGTTTCTCATCTATACAATACTAATATCTGATAGTTCAGGATTTCTTTTTTCCTAGGTTTCTATAAAATGTGCCAAACAAGAGGTGTCCTTATTGAGAAAAAGAATTGTTTTGTCTAATTCAAACGTTTTTTAAAAGTTGATTCAAATTACGAGTTTGAAAAGGTTATTTATGAAACAAACTAGAAAGGAAGCAGTAAATGGTGAAGAGAGATGTGAAGAAAGATATAGACAAGAACATGTAGTTTTGGTAAGGAAGGTTATCAAGAAAAAAGAGTAATTTTATACGAGAAAGAATCTTACATGGTAAATTATTCTCCTAAAGGAAAATGACTGGTTATTTAAGAAACAGGTTCTTATTACAAGGTTAATCTAGAAAAAGAAAATCGAAAAAAATTTTAAAAAGGAACAGGTACCATAGGACAAGTATACAGTCCAACCATGTGACAGATGGTCTGTGTAAGTCATGATAAGGCTTGTGAAGGGGAATTTATAAAAGGAATTTTGTATGAAATTAAGTTAGGTATAATTAAAAAGGAATTGTTTATAATAGTCTTTCTAAAGAATGGTCCCCTATATTAAACCAATATTTTCTTAAGGTATCAATTTGCTCTTAATAAAATGACAAGAAATTTTGATTTTCTCCATAATCGATTTCTTTGGAAAACTTCTGAGATTCATATCTCAAATGTTCAATTGTTGTCTTGCTGCTATCAGCTTTTTCTCCCTTTGACGTGCCCTGGGATAACTCTATCCTTCAGCTTCCTGTCAGCTCCTGTAACTTTTCTTAGTTCTAAATGTTGTGGCCTGATGCTGAAATATTTTATCTTAGAGGTCTATAAAAGCAGTGTTTTCCTCCAGGATAACTTGATTCTATACTCTTGGGGTATTTTTTGTGTGTGTGTGTCTAAATTTTCACTGTCATCAGGAAACTTATCATGCAGCTACTAAGAGTCATCTATTCCCTAGTTCTACTCATAACCGTGTACACACTCTTCCCATGTTTGACTAAATTCAAGCACTTTTTATTATCAGTTGTACTTCCAGATCATCTCAACGGGCTTTCCCCTAAGGAGAGGCAGTCGCACTAAAAAGGGTTTTCCTTTTACTTTTTGGTAACTGCCTTAAGAAACAAGAGTTTACATTTCATCAAGATAGTTCCTACGTTGCCTTTATAAAGTGTTTAATTGGTTTTTAAAAACCTATGAAATTTGAAAGGAGTAAGGTATTTACACATGTGTAACTTTCTGTATTGCCTTTAAAGTCTTTCAATGATCACTTTGATTAAATGAATTACTATTGTTTTACAAGGACCTGTAGTTTGCTTTTGATCAAATATTTTAAGCTTTCGAACATCTTTGACAGACATCTCCAAAATTGAATTCTAAATTAAGTCTCTGACTTATTGCTGGGGCTTATCAAAGCTAAAAAAAAATTAATCACTGTGAAGTGTATCACCACCTCCAACACCCTGAAAAAGTTCTTATCAGGTGTTATTAACTAATCTTTGTGGTGTTAAGGTACAAGGAATTGACTTCTGGATACATGTAGCTCCTCTAAAGAAGACAGACTCCTGCCAGCATCTAATATCAACCTCAAGTTAACCAATCTGCAAATCTCCAAATTGAAGAGTGTCTGCCTTTCCTGGCCATCCTGACTGAAACTCCCACATTTTTCCTTGGTTTAGATAAAATATAAATTATCTATTTTATTTCACCTAAGATTTATCCCTTTAAAATAAAAATTTGGAACTGCCTGGTTAAAAACTGTTTGGGGCAGGGAACAGGTAATCAAGAGACTGATGATCTAAAATGAAAAAGAAAAACTTAAAAACTCACAAATGAAGAATCCATATAACTTTACCAGATCTGCTTCTCTATGTCTGTGTATTTATATGCTTCATATAATTAATATTTTGCTAACAAA